AATCCGTGCCAGGTGCAGGGTCTGCTGGCTGGGTGCTGGCAGGCTTGCACCTGGCACGGTAGCCAGCCCGTGCCCCTTTAAAGGGTCCGGGGCCGGGAGGGGGGCATAGAGTTTCCCTGGTGTTGGCCAGAGTGGCCACCAGGGGAACCTGGGGAGGGCTAGCCTCCCACTAGTTCGAATTAAGGGGCTACACACCCCTTAATTCGAACTAGTAAGTTCGAACTAGGCTTAATCCTCGTAAAATGAGGTTTTCCTAGTTCGAACTAAGCGCTCTGCTAGTTCGATTTAAATTCGAATTAGCGGAGCGCTAGTGTAGCGCCTATGAATGTTAGTTCGAACTAACGTCCGTTAGTTCGAACTAACATTGTAGTGTAGACATACCCAGACTGTTTCTCCTGACCACTTGCATTTATCTATTTCCTACCCATCCTTGAGAAAAAGATTGCAGTCTTTACCTTGTGAAAGTGCTGCAGATTTTCATCACAAAGTGCCACAGAACGGTTATGCATAGTGCTAGCAAGTGGAATACAAGCCAGATACCTTCTGGAAAACATGCAACAAACATACAGCTAAATGAGCTCAGATATAGTTAAAAGTGCAGTTCTACACTCAAAATCACTACAAAATAGACATATTGGGGGTTTTGTTTGTTCCTCAGGCTATGCCTTCACTGCCAAAAAGGTGTATTCTTAACTTGGGTTAGCAGAGCAGTGAAAACACAGCAACTAATCTTTTAATTTGGATTAGCATCTTGATTTAAAGCATATGGAAAGGCTGAGGTTAACCTTGAGCTGCTAACCTGTATCTGAGTTCCTGTATCTTCACTGCTCTTTTAACCTAAGTTAAAAACACACTTTCTTCCCCAATAAAGACATGCCTTAAGACGTTCTAGATCACATTTTCTCAGTTTCTCATGAAATGAAGAGATATTGCTGCTTTTCATATCACCACCTCTGCACAAAATCTAGATGGTTTATTTCTGGCTATATCCTCACCACCACCATTTTATCTTCATTACAAAAGTTAACTCTAATTGGTACATTCGAGCTATTCCACTTGAACTAACTAAAGTCAGTGAACCTTAACTGTAAATCCATTGTGGAGCCTGTATTGTGATCACTGTTTGTTTCTACCACACTAAAGGAAGTTCTTAAAATTCATAGTGAATGAGATAAGGGTTGCTGTGAAGCTCTAGCTTTAATCTCTCCTAAAATTATATATACATGATTGCCATAGACTCTGTCAGATAAGTACATAATGGAATAAGATGTTTCCTGTACATTAATGGGTGTAGAAAAAATACATTGTATTACACAGAATTATTTGTGAGGTAGCATATGATCATGTAATTAAAGTCTGCACCATAATGCATAGATGTAAAGGAGCAGAATTAATATAGTACACTGTAACGGGGCTAGGACCTAAGACCAACAGGGTCATAGAAAATTACTCCAGATGGCTAGAGTGGCTGGGAGGAAACCAGCCAATCAGGGGTCAGGAGGGACTATATCAGAAGCTGCAGGACTAGGGGCAGCTCAGTTGCAGCCCAGGCCTAGAAGGGAGATCAGGGCTGTCTGAACAAACCAAGAACAGTTTAGAGCAGGGAACTGTTATCTCCAGGAGGAGGAGCACCACTCTCATATTAGGGATGCGTCTAGACTGGCAAGTTTTTCCGCAAAAGCACTTGCTTTTGCAGAAAAACTTGCCAGCTGTCTACACTGGCCACTTGAATTTGCGCAAGGACACTGATGATCTAATGTAAGATTGTCAGTGTTCTTGCGCAAATACTATGATGCTCCCGCTCAGGGATAAGCCCTCTTGCACAAATGCAAAAGGTAAAAACTGTTTTGACAGGTAAAAACTGTTTTGCGCAAAAAAGCCCTGACGGCGAAAATGACGATCAGGGCTTTCTTGCGCAAAACTGCGTCTAGATTGGCACGGATGCTTTTCCGCAAAAAGTGCTTTTGCGCAAAAGCATCCGTGCCAATATAGATGCTCTTTTACGCAAATGCTTTTAACGGAAAAACTTTTCCGTTAAAAGCATTTACGGAAAATCATGCCAGTCTAGATGCAGTCTAGATGCCAGTCTAGATGCAGTTGTGAAACAGACTAAGAGACTGGTCTGGACACTCTACAGAGGGTACCGGGATGGGTGCCGATAGAGGTATATCCCAAAAGAGGTTTGTGATTGCACAAAGAGTGTGATTCAGCTGGAGGGTGGAATAGCCACAAGGCTTTAAGATGGACACAGTGCAGGAACCCACACTTGGCCAAATGGAAGCACTTGCATGAGGTGAGTGCTGACACTGTAACTCTCATATACCCTCAACACAAACTCCCTCTGACTTTTGATTGCTCAGCCAAGCAACCATAACATAGTCCTAACTACTTCTGTTTTTAATGTAATTTCTCTCACCTTGGCTGTGCCTATCAACAATACTTCTCTAGATCAGGGGTGGGCAATAATTTTGGAAGGGGAGGGTCACTTCACAAATTTCAGAGGTGGTCATGAGCCAACCTGGAAGGGGCATGCCTCAGGCAGCAGGGGTGGGGTTGAGAACTATCCTGCTGGGTTCGGTGACCTTATTTTCTGAACCAGCTGCAGCTAGTAAGAATGGTTTAATTTAAATTATGAAACAGATTAAGCATTTTAACTTTCTCATGTTTATCAAACTTCATTTTAAATAAAGTAAAATATTATGTCCAACACAAAAGGTTTCAATGTTGTCTTTGTCAGCGTTAGGGAACCTTTTTTGGGTCGGGGTCACTGATTTACAAAAAATCAGTTGGGGACTACACAAGTGAGAAACAAAAAGACTCCTCCAAAACCCCCCAACGCTCACTGATGTGGCCCCAACTAAGATACCTCACTCCTCTGGGGTCCCAGCCTCATGGGGTAAGGGAAACGGATATGGGGGAACTAAGGTTCCCATAGACCAGATTTACTTTTCTGTGGTTCTGGAGTTAGTGGATTTTATGGACCACATTAGGCTCTGAGGTAGGGACAAAAATGAGGGGTACAGTGCATGAGACAGGGCTGCTAGCAAGTAGAATAGAGATGGGGTGAGAATCTGGGAGGGAGCTGGGGTACAGAAGCAGGCTGGGAGTAGGGTGTCTGGCAAGATGGAGGGAGCAGAAACAAGGGGGGGGCACAGTGTGTAGCCAGGAGAGAGGGTGCAAGAACAAGGGATAATGTCGGAGTAAGCTGGGGGTGCTGGGTCTTGGGGGAAAGGGAAGTGAATGGTTGGGGGGGGTCTGGGCGTAAGGGAGAACCTTATCTCGCTTCTTGCCCCCTTGCAGCAACGGCTGTAGCCACGCTGTCCTAGCCGCCCCGGAAGAAGGTCCTGCTGCTGCTGTGGCCACATAGTCCAGGGCTGGCACGGGAGGTGCAGCTGCCACAGCCATGCAGCCATGGGTCAGCACTGGAGGCAACACTGCCATGACTACGTGGCTGGCCCTGGAGGCCGGAGATGCTGCTGCTGTGCGATACGGAGCCAACCCCAGAGGCACTGCTACCACGGCCACAGACTGGCCCTAGAGGCACCAGAGCCAGTCCTGGAGGTGCCACTGCTATGGCCACGTGCCCTGGGCTGGCCCTGGACTACATGGCTGTGGCAGCAGAACTTCCAGTCCCCAGGGCCGGCCCTGGAGTGCATGGCAGAGACACCACTGAGGAGCCTCAGCCCCAGTGCTGCCCCCTCCCACTGCAGCCTAAACTGCTGCAGGAGGAGGGAGCGTTCTCCAATGGCTGCGCAGGGGGAGGAGAGGCAGGGTTAAGCTCCTTCCCCCATGGTATGCATGCCACAGATTGGGCATGCCCATTTGGAGCAGGGCCTGGAATTGCCTCATAGGCCAGATCAAAGCCCTAAGCAGCTTAGATCTGGCCCGCTGAGAGGCTTTTGCCCACCCTTGCTCTAGATGAACAGACAATCCAAAATGTAAAAGCACATACAACAGAATAACTTACAAAACAGAACTGTTGTATATGGTGCAATATATACTGTTAGTGCACAAGATATAGCAATCTGTAAAACTAGACAGTTTACATCAGTTTCACTTACTTTTGGGTGAGTATTGAAGCTGCCTATCTTCCTGCCTGATACTAATAGGGATCTGTCTTTCAGTATTACTGGGTGAGAGTCCTTGTCTTTGAGAGAGCCTAGAAAATAGAAAAGGGCTTTAAAATCAAAGAGTGGTGCAAGTGGTCTTGCAGGTGTGGGGAAAAAAAAGCAGAGGCTACGTTTTCAAAAACAACTTCTAGTACTAAGGTACAAGTATTTGCACCTACCATTTCACCCATTTAGAAGCCTAGCTACCCATATCTGAATGAGCCTATAACACTGAAAGCAGCTAAATAGTAATCTAAATGGGTACAAATAACTGTACATGTAAACACTGCCAGACAACATTTTAAGCTTCGGTTTAATTATTTCACACAGCGGGGGCAGAGTTCTTTACCCTGTATTCTCTACCTTAACGACCCAACAGACCATTCAACTACTGTAATTGGATTCTGGCTCTGGAATTTGAACAATGAATAAAAATAAAGAAACATTCTTGTGTTTTAAATCTTTTTTAAAGATTTTATACTAAGAAAACATTAAAGTCATTTAGTTAATATTTAAAAGCCAGGAAATGCCAGCACTCTTTTTCAAGATCATTTATGAATATGACTGAACAGCATAGGTCCTACTGAAGATCCCTGGGGGAAACAACTATTTTTATCACTCTTCTCTAAAAACTGACTATTTATCCTTGCCCCAGCAGAAAGAGCGTTCTAGGCAGATAGATCAACATGTAGAACTTGCCCCAGCAGAAAGAGAGTTCTAGGCAGATAGATCAACATGTAGAAAGGAAAAGAGTTGGGAGTGAGAAAAGAATGGGAAGAGAACAGTAAATGGTGTGGCTTGGACAGACTGGAGGGTGGGAGTGCTGGATGGTAGCTGAGAATAGGGGGAAAGTTTGCATGACCTTTCAGGACAGAATAAGTTATTTATAATAAATATGACGGGAGTTAAGAGAGAGCCAGTGAAGGGATTAAAGAAGGGTCTCACATAGTCAAAGATGGTAGTGAAGCAAATTATTTGGATAGATGAAAAGTGATTACTTTGCCTATATTACATACAGTAAAAGATTTCAAGACAGTTTTGCTTTCTTGTGCTTGTATTTTCACACTCAAATTCACAATTTGGCCAGATAGAAATCCTTTTGCAATGGCAATATTTGCATATAAATCACATAAGACAAGAGTATTTGTGTCACATACATAATACAGTCCATTATTTCATTAAAAGTAACTTGATGAAGAATCAACCTGATTTCTGCAAAAAAGGATCATTTTGCAATAACAGAAGCAAAGCACACTGCTGAGAGGAAGAAGACCAATCATTCAAACCAGAATGTAGATAAATGACAGTATAAATAAGTTACTCAGTAACTTAGATGTTATTAAATAATTAATCTACAGGCTTCAAAACAGAATGGCTTTATCTGTAAATCATTAGTTTATATAACTGAGCAGTAGATATGTTTATTAGTTGATATATCATATTAGAAAACTGCCAACTCCCTTGCTCATCTGAAGCAAAATCAAATCCTATTTAGATTCCAGAATCAATTGAAATCAATGCAATGATTACCACTGACTTCACTTGATTGGCCCTTAGACTATGCCATTGTTTTATTGTAAATATATTTGGGAGCTTAATAACATTACAAGATTTTATAATTATTTGTATAATTTGTATATATATGACAAAAGTTAACAAATTGAATATGTTAAAAGTATTCATACCAATTTAAATCTTGGCTTTTATTTTCTGTGTCTGAGCTGTCACTGTTGGTGCCATGGCTTGTTTCATCCCGTGGTAGATAAGTGCTACCTGAAGACTTTGGAATTCTGTACATGTTTTTATTTGGTTTGCATTTACCACTGAAATAATAGAATCATGAAAATGTGGTGAAATAAGGTATGTTTATTACCCATAATTTTAATAATTTAAAATAAAGTAAACTCTAGTAATTTTAAGTCTTCTTTGATAGGAAAACTGTCTTTGTACTGTACTTGCCTTGAGGATAGACAATGAATAACATCATGGTAAGAGGAGGCAACCTGGAATTTCTGAACTACTGAGTGCTGCCAAATATGTCACAGGCTGCTCTTGGTGATATCATAATAAACAAGTCAAGCATAAGGTTCCTGAGGTCAGCCAGACAAGATGGGACATGTGCTCAACATTTTAAGTCTCAATGAGTGAAGAAATGTTATGCAGTCAAATCCTTCAAGGTTGTCTCTTGTGAAATGCTGAACTCCTTTTATTCCCACTGAAGTTTAACTTTTAGGACCAGAAGAAACTATTTTGATCATCTGACCTACATAAATCAGAGTACTTCTCTCTATTCATTAATGAGCACTGAAGGCAGGAGCTCTCACACTGAGGACTGTACATTTCTTATTAGTCACTCGTCTGTCTCCATTACAGGTTCAATCTCCCTGGTCCACCATTTTCAGAACCACCAGGAAATTTGCTAGATGAGGAGAGGTCAATGCTGGCCCCTCCATCTCCCAGCAGTAAGGCCCCAGGACTCTGCTTCTAGTGCTGGGACTCTGTCCAGTCACCAGGGCTCTGGCCTTCCCTAGGCCTTCACCCAGATACTTCACTGCAAATAAGAGTTTGCATGTCTGTAAAACGAGAAAGTAATTTGGCTGCCCTCCTCTTGTAGTTGCTGCTATGTAGGAAGAGAAGAAACACGTGCCACCTTCAGGGGCGGCCGGTTCATATAGGCGAACTAGGAGGTCGCCTAGAGTGCCGAGTTAAATGAGGAGACAAATGATGGCGCAATATCATTGAGGGATTTGGAAGTGGGGGCGCCAATTGCATGATTCGCCTAGGGCGCCAGTTGCTAGCAGCTAGTCTAGGGCCGCCCCTGGCCACCTTTAGAGACCGGTACATTCATCAGAAAAGTCAAGTTATTTCCTTTCACTACATTTCTATGTAGGCAGTTCCTACTGTTGCCACAGGGGTGATGTAAAATCACACACACAAAAAAGGAAGATGATTTGGGCTATCCCAGATGCAGTGGGAAGAGCTGGAGCACACCCTCCCACCCCAAAATGTGAAAGCTCCTGAGTCCGGGTGCTTACTCAAGTTATGCCTGCCAGTTTTGAGTGCTGGGCTGCACCTGCTGTGCTATGAAGTGGAGTGGCATTTTGCACCAACAAGAGGGAAAGGGAGGCCCTGCCTTGCTCTTTTGCTCGATCCCGCTCTAAATTGGTAATGCGGACCTATGATGCTATGCATTGGCCGAGGTGCAGGTACCAACATGCTCATCACTGCTAGTGCACCCTGAGGCACCGCACACAGTTCAGTGCATGCTGCAGACAGAGTGGCCACTGCAGCAAGTCTGGACACACCCGAGCGAGTTTGGATGGCGCCCAATCAAATCCCCCTAGCCCCCGACCCCTGCCTCACCCTGCATGGCTAGCTACCCCGCTGCTGGGCCAGGCTCTGCGGGCGCACCCCGGGGATACTGCCCCGCCCAGGCTCTGGCCCCACCCGCCAGCGCACACAGGCACGTGCTCCGGACACTTCACGCAGCCCAGCGGAGCTGAGCCCTGCCGCAAGGGCCTGTCACTCACCCTCCTCCCCTTCGCGCGCGCGGCGTCCCGCCCTTCCCGCTGGC